CCACCCCGCGACCCACCCCCACCCCGCGACCCACCGCGCGACCCACCCGGCGACCCACCCCGCGCCCCACCCCGCGACCCACCCCGCGACCCACCCAGGGGAGGAAAAACCACCCGGACCCGACAAGTGACGTTTACTAAACGGCCCTGGGCGTTGACGAAACAGTCCTGCCCTGTTCGATTCATTCCTTGTGTGCGTTTACTAAACAACTTCGCTTGTCGGGGTGATTATTATGGGGTGGATTTCCTTCCCTCTACACCCGCGAACCACCGGCGAACCACCCGCGACCCAACAACGACCCACCCGCGACCCATTTGCGACCCACCCGCGACATACCCACATTGGTTTAACGAAAGAATCGGCGGGTACGGCGGGCTCGTTGTATAATTTGTAAAAGTTGGCGCCTGCGGCGGGCTTCTCCAGAGTCTCGCCAACTTCCGATGTCCCCACCGCCCCTTCACTCAATCCGCATCTGCGGGGTGCTACGTAAATATACCTATGTATCTGGACATGCATCTACCTGTTTTTCTTTAGTACTCCTCGTAGTCTTATCCTGCGACAGCGGTTCGCCAAAAGGTGAACCCCACTCAAACCTGGACTCGTTCCTTCTGAGGCTTCTCCCTGGTCTTCTTATGAGGAAAGCTCACCCTTGGTCAACAACGCTGGCCCTCTTCTCTCGGGCTATCATTAGACTCTCAGCCAGCAGTGCATTGCCGATGCGTCGTGGATGCGCTGGCGCGCGAGCACCTTGGACATAGACGGGGTACCCACTGGTACTTTTTGGGGTGACGAAGGAGGGCGAACAACGATCAGTTGAACCTGAAGCAGTTCAGACAATAGAAATGGGCAGCAGTATTGTTAGCACCGGCTGCGTTCACATCAACACTAATCTCGCTCATAAGAACATGCTGGCGCCACACACGTGCCAACCTTACATGTGCAACCCACTATGCGTTGTGTGCGTGTGTGTGTGTGTGTGTGTGTGTGTGTGTGTGTGTGTGTGTGTGTGTGTGTGTGCGTGTGTATGTGTGATTGTGTGTGCGTGTTGTCTTCTTCCTCTATTTCATAACCGCATGCGCAGCGCGCAGCGCAGCCAGCGTGCAGCCTTCGCCGCCGCCACTCGCCCACTCGGCGCCGCACTCGGGAGCCGCCGCGCCCACGGGCCATGGGGGAGGGGTGCACCGCGCACGTGGGCCCGGGGGGAGGGAGGAGGGAGGAGGGAGGAGGGAGGAGGGAGGAGGGGGGAGGGGAGGGAGGAGGGCACCGCAGACATGCCGCACGCAGGAAGCTCGCCTGCCCTCCCCTGCGCTGCGAGCCTGCCTCGCCCCGGCCTCTCGCGACCCGGGCGGGGCTCTGCGCCGCCCGCCAAGCGCGCCCCGCGCGGGCGCCCGCGCCGGCGAGGAGCTGGGCCTCACGGGCCCGTGCCTCTCGGCAGGCCTCCACCCCGTCCTCGGCACGGCGCGCCCTGCGGGGCACGCCGTGGCCGAACGCCACTTCGCCGTCCCATCTGCGAGGCGGCAGCCTGCCGCGCAGCCTCGTTCACGACGCCTCCCGCATCCCGCTCGGCGTCGGGCTGGGCGCTGGCTCTCGCGTGGCCTTCGGCCGCAACCGCGCCGTCCCGCCGCCCCAGGATGCCGCCCTCCTCCCGCTCGACGTCGGGCTGTGCGTGGGCCTTCCCGGCAGCGTCGCCGTCGAGCGCGCCATCCAGCAGCTGCGACCGGCCCATCCTGCCGCCGACCTCAGCCACGCAGTCCAGCAGCTCCCAAACCTGGCCGTGGCCCACTGCACGTGGAGGCGGCCGGCCGCCCGCGCCCGCGCGAGCTCCGCCCCCCCGCACTTCGCCATATATGGGCCATGCGGATGTCCTCGTCGAAGGCCTGATCGTCATCACGATCCTCCTGGGACTGCCGCTCGCGCGCGTTCGCCCCCTTCTGCAGGCCGTACGCTGGCCGCCCAACTGCACTGCACCGCACCGCAGCCGTGCTGCCGCAGCAAAGCGCTGGCCGAAGCCTCGCGCGCACCGCTGCACGACGACAGTCGCCTGAGTCTTCACCGCCGCGGCCTTACGCTCGGCCTCGGCGGCGGCCTCCGCTGCACGGGCGGCCAGCGCCTGCGCGGCGTCCCACCGCGCCGCCGCCCCTCTGCCTGTGGCCTTGCCCTTCACCCTCTGCCACGTGCCACTCCGCGGCCGAGGACACGACAATCGCCCCCGGCCGCTGCGGCCCACCCCGCGATGCCTCCTACACCAGGAAGCTCCAGAGGGCCGCGCTCAGCATGAAGTCCGACTCCACGGTTGGCTAGGTGCTCACCTCCAGCCACCCTGACCGGAGAGGCCTCGCACCGCACGGCCTGCGCCGCTGGCGCCTGGAAGTTTGGCGACCGCCTCCGCGCAAGGCCAGCAGCTCGCGCCCAGTTGCACGACACACCCCGTCGTCCGCAAGAGCCCAAGGGCCGTACCCGGCAGGGCCGAGCACCCTACCCTGCCGCAAGCGAGGATCAGACCGCCAATTGCGCGGCCTCGCCCGCGGTCACGCAAGCGCTCGCTTCGTGGTCGGGTGCTGCCCGCTGCGGATCATCGCGCCTCGACGCTGGCACGCGGTCCCCGCATCGCCAGGCTGATCCGACCGGCCTGGGCACGATCGCCCAAAGCTTTTTGCCCTGCGCCTGGCATGGGCGCCGCACGCGATGCACACGGTGTAGCCGAAGTGCTCCTCCACGATGTGCTGATGCAGAGGCGCCTCGCTTGGGGTAGGGGGCGACGGTCGCAGTGCGGACATCGCCCTCTCGACGCCCCCCAGACGACGTGCAGGTGCCGCCTCCCAAGGCTCGGCCTCTTCGTTGCGCTGCCTGCGTCTCGCCATCGCCGCCACGGGGAGCGTCGCCTCGTCGGGCCTGAGCAGCCGTGGCCCTGTCCCACGGCCCAATGCAAGGCAAGGGAGGGCCTGGCCTCACACGCCTGTAGCTCTCCTTGCACCGCTCTCAGGGCTTCACTCGGTCTGGCGGCCATGGGCCGTCCCGTTGCACCACTGGAGGCACTGGTGCGGGCCGTCGTTCCGCCGCTGGAGACCGCGTGCCGCTGGCCCTTTCACCGCCGCCGCCAGCGCTGCGCTGGCCAGCGCCCTGTCCAGCGTGGGTGTGCAGAAGCTTTTGTGTGTGCCATTCTGCGTGTAGCACTTTGTGCAGGATTAGGTGCAGTGTGGAGTTCTGTGCGTGTGCTCTCGTTAACAGTCATGTCTCTATACGTTAGTACATGCCTGCGTGCATGTAACGGTACATCATATATAAACATATGTGTAGATCTACATCCATAGGTGCACGTGAACATATACCACCATGCCGCAAGCCCCGAGTGGAGTACCCCCCAGGTCCCTTCGAATCCCCTGTGTTGAATAGAATGAACACCCTTCAGGGGGCGCAGGGCCCCAACACACGGGGCCAGTCGCAAGACTCTTTGCCTTGCCGGCTCACATTTCATGAGCGCCAAGACGCCCCTAGACGGTCCCGAGAGGGCTGCAAGACAGTCCAAGGCCCGACGGCTAAGAGGCCGCCGAGACGCCCCAAGAGGGACTCAAGATGACCCCACAAGAGGGCCCCCAGAGGCCACGACCATTTGACTTCCACACTTCACTTCGGCGTTCTCGCCTTTTCGGACTTCCAACCGCCCAAGGCGGCCCAAGAGGCCACCAAGATCGCTCCAAGAGGCCCCCCACTTGGCCCCCAAGACGGCCCACGAGGGACCCAAGATGGCCCAATAGACGGCCACGAAGACGGCCCCAAAAATGCCTTGGAACGGCCTGGTGGGGACCGCGAAAGGCCAAGCATCATCATGGAATTCTGGAGTACGCACCTGCACCTACCCCTCGGCAGTTCCCCCACCCCCCGACCGTGCCCAGCCGCGAGGCTCTAGCTGCGGAGGGCCGCGTTCTGCCGGACTGCCACGTGAAAAGCAGCGCGCCCCTCTGATTCGGCGCGGCGCGCGGACACCCCCCCTGCAAACCATCTGTGCCTTCCCCACCACGCCTCCACCCGGCTTTCCTCCCGTCTCCTTCCGGTTTCCCTGCTGCTGCGGTCCTTCCCTTCTCCTTCCCCGCCTGCTCCTGCGCTCGCTCGATAAAATATGGCCCACTCGCTGGCTCACGCTCCCGCGTGCTTGCACAGCCGCTGGCACACTGGAGTGGGAAAGCCGGCCCTTCCTCGTTCGTTTCCAACTCCTTCTCCCTATCGCCTTTCCTTTCCAATGTATGAAGGGGCCCAGGGACACACAAATACATACACACACACAAACAACAGGATTCCCCATATTTTCGTTTTTTTTAATTTTCGGCTTCCCCCTCACATCCCATTTTTTTCACATTTTCCTGGGAATCGATGATTCATTGTGTCTGTGTGTGTTTTCTCCCCTCCTGAATGTAGCATCGGGCTCTCAGGGCCCGCGAGGCAAGGCTTGACTTAAAACAGCACGAGCACATATCCGCAGCCATCTTCGGCGTCGCGCGCAGAGGAGGTACCACGATGAAGGAGCGGTGATGCAACTGCGACTGACTTCTGGTGCGGTGGAACACAAGAGTGACGAGGGGCAGAAAGGGCACGCCTTCTGCTTTCACAAACGCGGCCGCCACTGCCTCCGCTGGTTTCGCTCTCCCGTTCCGTACCATGTCTGCACGACGCGCCCAATGTCGCGGACCAGCCTGGGTAGGATAGGGCGAGGAGAAACAGGACAACGAGAAGGAGGGATGAGGGTGAAATAGGAGGAGGGGGAGAACTGAGAACACGTGACAGGAATGAGGAGCTAAAAAGAAGAGGGATGATGAAGGAGGAGGGGGAGAACTGAGAACACGTGACAGGAATGAGGAGCTAAAAAGAAGAGGGATGATGAAGCTCGACGCGGTGAGTACAAGAATATGGAGGATGGGGTGGGGAAGAAGAGGAGATACGTGATGGAAATAATTGACCGATTGGCCAATCCTGACGGCCTGCCGCAGTCGCTGTTTCTGGCCTCGTCACAAAACTCTGTCGCAATGAGGCCGGGCCACCTCGTTCGCAAACCCGCCAACAGTAGAATTCATCCTCGCGGGCTCGGCTTCTCCTCCTCCTGCTGCTCCTCCTCCTCCTCCTCCTTGTCCTCACCCTCCTCTCTCCTTCCCCCTGCTCCCAAGCCAGAACAATTAATGTTCAGGTGCTTACGTTTTGATCTTCAAGTGTTAAGCCTCCTCCTCCTGCTCCTCCTCCTCCTCCTCCTCCTTCTCCTCCCCCTCCTCCTCCCCCTCATCCTC